ACCCACACGGAGAAGGCGGTCATATTAGCTGCAGTACATGGCTACTTCTTTCGCACGCGGATGTGACTATCACACAGCTTCAAACTACTGTAACGCATTGATAACACTACAGACAGTTAGCCGTTAGCTTCACATTAAGCTACGCCTGTATAACAAGATTCTAAACTAAATATAACTGTCATTGAAACAATAGCAGAAATAAGCCGTGGCTAACGTTCATATTCGAATAAGCACCGCGAGAATAAATAAGTCGCTAATTTTAACACCACTGAAATGTCGAAGTTTGCTCCTCTCGCCTGGGCCAAGGAATAACAGATGAGCGACTGCTCGGTGCTCGATTAAGCAGCCTGATTTTCTTGCAGCCTGTGACGTTCGTGAAATGTTGTGTGTGTACATATATACAATTTTATTTTTTAATTTTAGACATATCTTCCCCATATTGTTGTTATTTGTAGTATTTTTTTAAATTCCATTCTTTAAGAAGGCGTAGCTTTCAAGTTCCAAACTCATTTCTTTTCATAACACACAATGGCTCATTCATTGCGCTACTTTCCAGTCTGAAGTGAACCTTGTTGAGTTTCCCATTTAAACCACTGTATCCCATTTTCCGCTTACTTGTTCTTGTTTATATACTACTGGGCGTAGTGTACCTGGAATCGAGTATTTTAACCGATGCATGAAACCACACATTTATATAGGTTTTAACGGCTGCCGTTTTCTTTGTGAGTAGTCATCTTCAAGTCAAGTCATCTTTATTTATATAGCACATTTAGAAGACATCAAGTGTCGGCCAAAGTGCTGAACAAAGGGAGAATATAATGAAAGTAGAAAGAAAACATTTTTAAAAAGAATTGTAAGACATGTAAGAGTATATAGCATATAATGTACATACATATACAAAACTGTACACATTCACGCACAACCACACATATGTGAACATGACATATATGCACATACAACATTATCCAATAAGATAAGAGACCAAATAGACAGAATAAAAAACGATATCAAAGAGATCCGAAAGCCTTGGAAAATAGGTAGGTCTTGAGATTCGATTTAAAGACTTCCAAGGATGAAGAGGATTTTATGAAGGGGGGAAGACTATTCCAGAGTCTCGGGGCGGCAATGGAGAAAGCCCTGTCACCTCTAGATTTGAGCTGGGAGCGTGGAACTGATAAAACCATCTGACTGGAGGAGCGCAGAGATCGAGTGGGTAAGTGCAGGCTAAGAAGATCTGAAATGTAACCTGGAGCCATTTATTACACAGCGTGCTGCGGGAAAAGCCTGTTCTAACGTTTGAGTCTAAGGTTTATTTTTTAGCACCTGAGGCTCTTTTTTGCTTTTCTTCCGTAAATACTCTGCGTCTTCCACGTGATTCAGTTTATTCTGAAAAGTCTCAACAGGATCTTGAGCTTTATTGTGAAAGGTTTATGTGGAAAATAAACGAGCGGACACCGGTGGTTTTACCGTCGTTGTGATTAGGTGCTTGTCCATCTGTAGTGTGGTAATATTAAATATAAGAGAAAGGGAGAACTTTAAGAAATTAATATAGCCACTACAGTGACCATCAAAACGATGAAAAAATATTGCCATAAACAGTTTATTTTGCGACACCACGGAACAAACGATAACGTAAAATGAAACATAGACGTTTTTCACAGCCCTAATACATATATATATATATATATATATATATATATATATATGGCATAAATTGTCTAGTCTGTGATATATCTTCATATCCCAACAGTTATTATTTTGATTTCCATTACCACTACAAAGAAGCTGACATTTGCTGTTTCAGATTAAATGTCTCATTATGAACAACAAAACACTGTCATTACTTATTTAATGAAAATTAAGCCAAAATGCTCCCCGTGCAGCTTTTTCGGTGTGGCTTCATCAGTCTCTCGCATGATGAATTTTGTCTCACTCTTCTTTCCAGTGTTCCCTCAATTCTTTGTGGTTTGTGGGATTTTGTTTATCTACAGCTCTCCCAGCACAGCATTTCAGTCAAGTGGAAGTCTGGACTTTGGCTGGGTTATGGCAACATTGTAACATTGCTGCTGTTCTTGGGTTCATTGTCCTGATGCATGAAGAAGTTTCAACAAAACTTTAGCTGTCAGACAGATGGCTTCACATTTGACTCGAGAATACTCTGGTATGGAGAGGAGTTTATGGTCGACTCAAAGAGTACAAGGTGCCCAGGTCCTGTGGCTGCACACAAACCCAAATCAACCCCCCTCTACCACTGTGCTTCACACAGGGGATAAGATGTTTGTGATGATATGCTGTATATGGTTTTCTCCAAATGTGGTGCTGTGCTTTGCGGCCAGCTTCACTTTGGCCTTGTTTATCCAACAGACATTGTTCTAAAAATCTTGTGGTTTGCTCTTGTCTTGATTGTGCTTTCATGAGTCTCAGACCTATAGCTTTTGAGTTTTTTGCAGTTTCTCTGAACATTGCATGGTCTGACCTTAGGGTAAATTTGCTGAAAGGTCCAATCATAGCGTGATTGTGACATTGTCTTGAACATTTTCCTCTTGTTAATTCTCTTAAAAATTGTCTTCAAATTGTTTGGAAGCAACCTTATAACCTTTCCCATACTGATGAGGAAAAAAACAGTTGCGAGAAGGATTACTCTAAGATTACTGCTCCTTCCTTGGCATTGTGTTCACGAACACCTGAATGCTCCAGACCTGCAAACTGTCAAAACTTCTGCTTTCATACAGGTAAATCAAATGCATTTTGTTAGCAATATCTTGCTGCTACTTAACCTCTTAATTCATATGGAAACAGCAAGGGTAATACCTCAATTTCTTACATGCATTTTGGCTTAAGTTTTGTCAAATAAATGACCAGATCTTTTTTCTTTTCTTTTTTTTATCATGTCCTTAAAACTTTAGAGGATTTACTTTACTCTTATTCATTTGATTTGCAGGCAAATTTGCAACAGTGACATCAAAATAACACACTTCATCCCACTTGATGGCTGATTTAACTATATATTAACTCGTGGGCAATCTAGATCCACTTATGAAGGCTGGGTATAGGGCTTGCTGGAGGAGGAAGCTATGATAAATATAGACTGTGACAGTTCATATCCTGGTCGTGCTTGAATACTGGGTAGAATATAATATAGCTGTTTGCCCAGGTCCTGAAGTGAACAGCTCATTGACCATTGTCTACCAACCCACTTGAAAGTCTTATGGGGAAAACACTGGATGAAAAATAAAATTTTCCTGTTGGCCTTTTCGAGTGTGTGTCCCTTTTACATTCTAAGCACACACAAAAAACAACAACAAAGATGCTTTTCTTTCTACCTTTGATGTTTTTTCCCCCTTTTTGTTGTCGTTGTTGTTTCAGACAGCCATGAATTAATAATTCTGAGAGTTCCACATGAGCAAAGATGGAGATGGAAGTCTAACTTTCAGTGGGGGGGGGAACAGCTTTTTTAAAACCTTATTCTGGGTCCAAATCAGCAAATCTTCAATCTATGCAAAGGATTCTGTAGAAAGTGAGTTACAGCAGTTAGCTTCTAGCTCTCATATTGATCATCAGCACATTATCCTGGGATTAAACACTGTACATAGGCTTACAGGAATATTATTATTAATGTTTAATGTTGTTGTTTGTTATTGTATTATTATGTGTTGTAATTGTATGTATTTGTTGTTTGGACTACATTGTTGTACATTGTGTGCTAAATTGCTTATTTATCATTTTTGTCTGACCTGTCACGGGCTTCAGATGAAAAGTAGCCTTCTGGCTAAATCTAGCATATTTACATTGAGACATAGCTCTGTCCCCTTTAAATACATGTATTCAAGTTCCAAAATACAGATGTTCATCACACCCGAACTGCTGCCTGACTCTGTGCATTTCATTCTGTGAGATACTGTGAGAACCAAACAGAAAATTTTGCTTCATTTTTTCTTTTCTTTGTCAGCACAACCTTCAAATGCCCCTCATAAAATCAAACGCAAACATTTAGAGCACTTCACTTGGCAGTGGTCTCAGGCTTAGCTACAAAAACTGGATCCCTAAACTATGTCCTCCCTTAAATAGCCTGCTGCCCTAATTATGAAGGGCAACATCTTAGTTGTTGTCCATCCAAAGATGACATTTAATTGTAAAATAAAATAAAATAAAATAAAAATTCCCTAGATCAGGGATCTCAAACAGGTCCCATGTCCTACTGATTAACCCTTCCCCCACAGTTGTTCATAGTATAGTAATAAAGTCAAAGATAAACAATTAAATGGCAGAGTGGTTCCTGTTTTCCCCCCCACTATCTACTATATAAATGTGTGTTTTTCTGTTTATAAAATGTCCAGGATAAAAATAAATTAAAAACGTAATAAATAAAAAGGGGGATTTTTCATGAATTAACACAAACCTTCCACTTTATAACTACAGTGTAAGCAATGAACCACTAAATCTTTTTCTGTAAGTTTACACATTTCTTATCATTTAAACCCAAAGAATCACACCGACAGCTGTAGCTCATTTACTACAGCAAAATCTTTATGATGTAGGAAAACTGAGATGTAATGTTGAAATTGCTCTTCTTATATTGAGATATCTCAGGGGTAAAATGTGCAGCTAGGGGTCTTCCACAAGCCAGGGCCACTTAAGATAGGGGGCTGTATGTGGCCCACGATGTAAAATGAGTTTGACATCCCTGCCCAAGACCCTTGCCCTCAACGTGACCATCACAGACATAAATAAAAGCCTTATACTACCCCCAGACCTAATTTCAACATTAAGCCCCACAGCGGAAAAGCAGCAGCTGCGTTAAATTTCCGCACACCCTATTTAAACTTAAATAGGTCCTCAGAAAGATATATGTACAAACGGACACGCATATAAAGCCTCCCTCATCCCCCACCACCACCCGTGGATCCAAGCATCCCACTACCCTGTGATGTAAGACTCGCCCTGCCTTTAAAAGTCCTGGCGCAGAGCCCAAATCGCATAACACCACTGGTGGCACAAGAGTCTCCGCTACGAGCGCGGATTACAGCCAGTCTAAAAGTGGTAACTTGAAGACGAGAGGAATAAACTGCTGTGGAAAGTAACTTGATAACTGGGATGAATTTTGTTAGATTGCCCAAATTATATGTAATAGCGCGTACTGTCAAGCTGGTTCGCGGAGAGACGCGGTGAAAGCGGAGGAGGCGTTGTGTTAAAGTCACGTTAAGGTGACACTTTTTGGTTACAATGTATTTTTTAACATTCCTGCCAGTTCTCTAAGAGTCGGCAGCCAAGTGATCGCTCTCAGGATCAGCGGAGGAATGCGCGTTTGTTGCACATGAGCATGGAGTAAGATGGAAGCTACACGCGCAAACTTTACAGATGCGCGATGTGACCAGCGCTGCCGAGTGAAGCAAGCTCCAGAGTGAAGAGAAACTGATGGACTGAATGGACGGCGGCATGTTTTCTGGTCAGGCTGGTCTGAATTACAGCTTCAACCTGAGCGATGACCGAGATTTGCTGGACGCGCCGGCGGGCTCGGCGAAGCTCTCCCCGGCGGGCTTTGTGGTGCTGTCCGTGGTGCTGGGCTTCATCATGACTTTCGGCTTCCTGAACAACTTCATTGTGTTGCTGCTGTTTTGCAAATTCAAAAAGCTGCGGACACCGGTGAACATGCTGCTGCTGAACATCAGCGTGAGCGACATGCTGGTGTGTTTGTTCGGCACCACTCTCAGCTTCGCCTCCAGCATCCGCGGAAAGTGGCTGCTGGGGCGCAGCGGCTGCAGCTGGTACGGCTTCATCAACTCTTGCTTTGGTAAGTTCTGCTTTTTTGAACAGCTCAAAGTTTGGGATGTTGTGGTATTTGTCAACTCATGCACCGTTTTACATTTCTGGAAATAAAACTGTGCGAAATATCTGCTGTTTTTGCAAAATGTATTATAATAAGTCACTGAGACACTGAAGTCAAAGTTGTGGCAAATATGCTTTATTTCACATCGTCAAATTTAATTAGTTATTAGTCCGCTCTGTTGTGTTTGTCTGCGTAAGAGTCATCGGGGCTGATGGGGATGGATTAATAATATTTTCAGTAGACCACGATACTCCCTCTTTAAATTACTTCGCTTTAATAAAGCCATTGGTATTCATTAACTTGGATTGTTTGCACAATGGTTAGTTTCTGTCATTATTCCAAGTAGCAGCTTTCACAATAATAATGCATAATAATAAGAATCTGTACATATAATGATAGCTGAGCCTGATAGATAATCAAACAAGCGCTCTTTGGATGGATCCAGATTCTTCTTCTTTTTTTTTTTAATCAAAGAATTGTGACCCAAAGTCTGTCCACTGCACAAAGAGAAGTACATTTGACGGTTGATGTCTTTCGGTAAACAAATTATGTAACGGTGACACTGGTTCTGACCTCAGACCTGCGGGTTTCATGTCTGTACAGCCCATCGCGTTTCTTTTTAAGTCTGCTTATCGACAGACACTGCCCGCTCCGTATCTCCAATCACACTGGCCAGTTGGTCCAGCGCTGCACTCTGACCTTCTCTTCCTCTGTCTCCAGAGGGAACGGGGATTGCAGTCAGATTTGAGTATTATTGTACTACATTGTTCATGAGCCCTCCATCCCCTCTCGTATTAAACTAAAACATCATGAGCTTTCCAGCGTTTCTTAACATCTGGCTGGTTTGAGCTCAAGGAAGAGTGAAAAAACGAGTTTGTATTTTACAGTTTGTCACACAATGCATTGCATACTGATTTATTTAATGACGTATAAGTCCGTGCCCCCACACGGACTTATTTTTTTTATTTTTTGCACTTTTAGTTCATCCACCAGGAGGTGGTAGTGTCACAACCTGGATGCACTGACCCTCATCGCATTTATCAGAGGATATGAACTCTGGAACTGTAGCCATTTGTATTTATTTCTGTCTGACAGATTTAGGGCAATCTCGTGTTTCCATGTTAGGAGGGGAAACGTTTTTCCTACATTTGGCTTGCCCAGTGTTGATTGCTTTTTGGGGTCAGGCTCATGTCTTTGCCATAGTTTGGTAAGGAAAGTTAATTCTGACACAATTGCTGGAACGTAACTCACCCACTTTAGTCTTTTACAGTGTGGTTAATAAACTCAAATCAAAGTGCAAACTGCTTGTGCTATGCTAATAAGCATGATCCATTGTATGTGATTCGTTTCCTGTTTATCACAATGGAAACACAAAGCCTATAAATGTCACTGGACTCTCATGCTACTATAGCTGTGTGTAGGGAAAAGGAAATGATCATTTATGAGACTCCTATAACTCAGGTTGAGTTATAGGAGTCTCATAAATGATCAGACTTCAGTACACACTCAGTAGCTGCCGAGACCTTGTATAGTGTAGGTCTCATTTTCATTCTTGTTGTGGCTTTTTAGATGATCTAGTGCTTTTATGCGTTTACTTTATGCTTGTTGATATTCAAACTTTTGTCATTACACATTCTTGACCCTGATGAAGGCCACAAGCTGAAACACGTTGATCAATTATTAAAGTTGTTCATCTTCCCTCAAGTGTTGACTTCCTGCTTTGTGATTTCATTACACATTCACACAGTAGTTGAATGAATAAAATTATATACACCAAGTTGTTCTCATGCTAGTAAAATTACTTTTCATTTCAGTTGCATTTTTTTATTATACTTTTACAGATTTTCATCTGACCTCACAAATGATATTTAGACTCTTATCATGAATACAGAAATATGTATTATTTTAACTTATCTCTGTTTCCATATCCTCTGATAGTGGTGTTTTCCTTCTGCCGGTGCTTGTGTGCTGGTTTACATCTGTTCATTTACCTTCTGTGTATTGTAAAACCGGATATGTCAGCAGGATATGTTGAGGCGGTGAATTTTCATTTGTCTTCATGCTATGTTTTAAAGTCAGCAGCGTGCTTTGACTTTATTCTCCCCTGGGCTTCTGCATTTTTAAAACTTGAACCAGCATGGTAACAGCTCACTGCTTATTTTACTGGTGTCAAGAGAGAAGATGCTGGAAAGCTGACAGAAGTCGGTAGATACAAAATATTTGCCACATAAAGTTTGCCAATATGAATGCAAAGAGCAGCCATACTGTTAGTCAAACTCCCAGCACCCCCCACCCCACCTACCCACCCACTCACCTCTACACAGACACATGCATGCAAGCACGCACAGATAGAGGAATTACAATTTTGTAACTAAAGTGTATCCATCTTCTGATGGCTGCTTCCAGCAGGTTAATGCACTATGTCACAAAGTTCAAGTTATCTCCAACAGGTTTCTTGAACATAACAGCGAGTTCACTGTACTCAAATGGCCTCCACAGTCATCAGATCCCAATCCAATAGAGCCCCTCTGGGATGAGGTGTAACAGAAGATTCATATCATGAAGGTGCAGCTAGCAAATCTGCAGCAACTGTGTGATGCAGTCATGTCACAATGAAATGGTAAATGGCCTGTATTTATATAGCGCTTTACTAGTCCCTAAGGACCCCAAAGCGCTTTACATATCCAGTCATTCACCCATTCACACACACATTCACACACTGGTGATGGCAGCTACATTGTAGCCACAGCCACCCTGGGCGCACTGACAGAGGCGAGGCTGCCGGACACTGGCGCCACCGGGCCCTCTGACCACCACCAGTAGGCAACGGGTGAAGTGTCTTGCCCAAGGACACAACGACCGAGACTGTCCAAGCCGAGGCTCGAACCGGCAACCTTCTGATTACAAGGCGACCTCCCAACTCTTGAGCCACGATCGCCCCATGAACCAACATCTCAGGAATGTTTCCAACACCTTGTTAAAATCTATGCCACAAATAAATAGGATAGTTGTGAAGGCAAAATTAGGTCCAACCTGGTACAAGTTGTACCTAATAAAGTCTCTGATGTGGGTCTTATGCTTCTTTGTTAAACATTTCTTAATATGTTGTTGTAAGAAATCGTATTCACAAGCAACCTGTATGCTCTTTCACACCATACATTGTTCCTATACTTATATGACATGTGTGCAGGATGTTAATATGTTTGTACCAATGATCAAGCACTCTTACCTCGTCCAGTACATCCTGTTCTCCCAAGTCGCTGTTTTGTTAAAAGACCATTACCGTCAGTGTCACATAGTGTGCGCTTGAAGATGGCAGAACGCTTTGAGTGTCAGCAACCATAATACACTGATTGTTCATTTCTCTCTTTCTATATATATCGTTGCCATTATCATCTCCCTGTTATTCCTTCATCATATGAGACAGCATAAGGGCTGATTCAATATATATAACTGCCAGAGAGTCGCACAACATAACAGATCACAGTTTTTCTTGGCCTGAGGCTAGTTTCAAACACGGGTAAAATTAAAAACAGGGCTAGGCAATCCATCATATACAGATAGAGAAAGCAATCAAGACATAGACAGTCATGCTGTCTTTTTGTACAGAAAGTATAAAGAAAACAGAAATGTTGAAATAATACATTTTATTATTTTTTCCAAAGCATCATTATGACCACATTACAAGAACTTACAGTATTCCTAAAGACTTTTGAAGTATAGTTGTTTCGGTGTTCTGACTCCTGTCTTGTACTTACGGTACACGAGTGGGAAGGTGGGTGACAACAAAGAGCAGGAAGAATGTTTTACTTTTAAAAGTCCGGTGATCTGCACACACTCAAGTAAACAGCTGATAAGAAGAAAGGACAATACACAGGGTGTAGTCTGTTTATTGTTCAAGGGCCTGACATTCACTTAACCTGACTTCTTAAAGCTTTTAAGCGACCCTACAAATCACTGGCTTACACCACTTGAGTAAGAACCTTGTAAGAATAATGATGTTACTGATGCTTTTGTTGCAAGCTGTAAGTGCTGTATATCATGATTAGGTATATGCTGCATGTGTGTGTGTGTGTGTGTGTGTGTGTGTGTGTGTGCAAATGCATCACATGGGAGTAAATGAGGCAGTGTAGGTTTAAGAAAACAATGGCTGTAATGAAGATCAACGATCTACATCCCAGAATGAAGATAAAGCAACTTGTGTCAAGAGACACCCAAACATAAAGATTTTGATAGTCAAAGTCAAATTTATTTCTATGGCACATTTAAAGACAAGCTCTATATATAAAATAATCAAATGACACAAAAATGTAGAACAAAATGACAGAATTTAATGAAGGAAAAAAAAAAAAAGAGAAAACCCGAAGAAGAAGTAGCACTAAGAAAAACAGTCAAAACTAATTTGGATTTAAAAGCCAGAGAATAAAAGTTTTATTCTGAGTTTTAGAGTTAAATCAAGAGTTAAAGGAGTTTTGCTTTTTGTAATCATTGTTTTCTTTTTAGCTTAAAAGCAGTAAGTGGGGATTGATGTTTCCTTCTCTCTACACGTTGTAAAGTAGCTAACAAAGTCATATAACTTACTAACAGTTTTACCTCAAAACTACTGCATTTTCTTTGATTTTAATCACATGTGAACAGAATTTTCTGGAAAAATAAATACATTTATGACAGAAAACAGCATGTTTGGGAGGATCATTAATGAATTATTAACTGGGATTTACATATTGGTTTATCAAGTGAAAGATCTCTGCTCTGATATAAAGAGGAGACACAAATCCCTTTCGGGAAGAGCATCCAGTGTACAAATCTGCCAAATTAAACATGTGGTGACCTGCTGTCAATAAGAGAGCAGCTGAAAGTAGCTCTATTAATTTCATGACCTTTCTTTCATGACTAATGAAAGGAAGATTCTTTTTTTTAAACAAGACTATTATCTCAAAAACCTGGTGGTAGATATCCTTGTA